TAAGATATGTGCTTTTTCGAAAATGTCTCTATCCCATAATCTTTCCTGCAAGCATTGTGACAAGCTGTTTAAATTCCACAAATAACAGATAAGAGCTCATTCGGAATGGCAGTCTGCCTACAGCTCTTTGGTACAATTGCCTCACCTAATTTCAATAGTCAAAAACTTTGTTGCGAATTTCAGCACCGTATATTAAAAACCCCTTTACTTGTTTTCGCCCAGTTTCGAACTGAGGCCTTTCGCGTGTAAAGCGAACGTGATAACACTACACTACGGAAAACTTAACTTGGAGAAGACAGTCCGACTCTTTAGCGTACGCTTGTTCAAAAGCGACTGAAACGATAGACTGCCCACCTGTCCTTAAATGGCAAAAAGCTGCTATTTTTGTGGCAGACTTAACATTTTTTATTACTCTACAGGAAACTTCATGGTCATTTGTTTTGTTTTAGTCCTTTTCTAAAGAATTTACACCGCAAAATCGCCCTGCAGTGTTTGACCTGCTCAACAGAAAACCACTGAAAAATGTTAGCAAAGACCATCCACAGTTTCCGCCAGTTTCGAACTGGGGACCTTTCGCGTGTGGAGGCGAACGTGATAACCACTACACTACGGAAACAAGCCTTCAGGTGCAGACAGAAATCTTCTGGTGCAGGCTTGTTAAAAAAGTGTACCAAGGAAAGTGAGCTGAGCCCTCCTGTTGTGGCAAACAGTTTAAATTTTCTGCCAAAAGCCAATTGCTGTTTCTGCTCGGTCGAACCGAGCCCTTTCGCGTGTTAGTGGCGAACGTGATCACCACTACACTACAGAAACCTCCTTATGTAAGACATGTGCTTTTTCGAAAATGGCTCCATCCCATAATCTTTCCTGCAAGCATTGTGACAAGCTGTTTAAATTCCACAAACAACAGATAAGAGCTCATTCGGAATGGCAGTCTGCCTACAGCTCTTTGGTACAATTGCCCTCACCTAATTTCAATAGTCCAAAAACTTTGTTGCGAATTTCAGCCATATATTAAAAACCCCTTTACTTGTTTCCGCCCAGTTTCGAACTGAGGACCTTTCGCGTGTAAAGCCAACGTGATAACCACTACACTACGGAAACTTAACTTGGAAGACAGTCCGACCTCTTTTAGCGTACGCTTGTTCAAAAGCGACTGAAACGATAGACTGCCCACTGTCCTTAAAATGGCAAAAAGCTGCTATTTTTGTTGGCAGACTAAACATTTTTTTTTATTACTCTACAGGAAACTTCAATGGTCATTTGTTTTGTTTTAGTCCTTTTCTAAAGAATTTACACCGCAAATCGCCCTGCAAGTGTTCTGACCTGCTCAACAGAAAACCACTGAAAAATGTTAGCAAAGACCATCCACAGTTTCCGCCCAGTTTCGAACTGGGGACCTTTCGCGTGTGAAGCGAACGTGATAACCACTACACTACGGAAACAAGCCCTTTATGTGCAGACAGAAATCTTCTGGTGCAGGCTTGTTAAAAAGTGTACAAAGGAAAAGTGAGCTGAGCCCTCCTGTTGTGGCAAACAGTTTAAATTTTCTGCCAAAAGCCAATTGCTGTTTCTGCTCGGTTTCGAACCGAGGCCCTTTCGCGTGTTAGGCGAACGTGATCACCACTACACTACAGAAACCTCCTTATGTAAGACATGTGCTTTTTCGAAAATGGCTCCATCCCATAATCTTTCCTGCAAGCATTGTGACAAGCTGTTTAAATTCCACAAAAAACAGATAAGAGCTCATTCGGAATGGCAGTCTGCCTACAGCTCTTTGGTACAATTGCCCTCACCTAATTTCAATAGTCCAAAAACTTTGTTGCGAATTTCAGCACGTATATTAAAAACCCCTTTACTTGTTTCCGCCCAGTTTCGAACTGAGGACCTTTCGCGTGTAAAGCGAACGTGATAACCACTACACTACGGAAACTTAACTTGGAAGACAGTCCGACCTCTTTTAGCGTACGCTTGTTCAAAAGCGACTGAAACGATAGACTGCCCACTGTCCTTAAAATGGCAAAAAGCTGCTATTTTTGTTGGCAGACTAAACATTTTTTATTACTCTACAGGAAACTTCAATGGTCATTTGTTTTGTTTTAGTCCTTTTCTAAAGAATTTACACCACAAATCGCCCTGCAAGTGTTCGGACCCGCTCAACAGAAAAGCACTGAAAAAATGTTAGCAAAGACCATCCACAGTTTTCGCCCAGTTTCGAACTGGGGACCTTTCGCGTGTGAGGCGAACATGATAACCACTACACTACGGAAACAAGCCCTTCAGGTGCAGACAGAAATCTTCTGGTGCAGGCTTGTTAAAAAGTGTACCAAGGAAAAGTGAGCTGAGCCCTCCTGTTGTGGCAAACAGTTTAAATTTTCTGCCAAAAGCCAATTGCTGTTTCTGCTCGGTTTCGAACCGAGGCCCTTTCGCGTGTTAGGCGAACGTGATCACCACTACACTACAGAAACCTCCTTATGTAAGACATGTGCTTTTTCGAAAATGGCTCCATCCCATAATCTTTCCTGCAAGCATTGTGACAAGCTGTTTAAATTCCACAAACAACAGATAAGAGCTCATTCGGAATGGCAGTCTGCCTACAGCTCTTTGGTACAATTGCCCTCACCTAATTTCAATAGTCCAAAAACTTTGTTGCGAATTTCAGCACGTATATTAAAAACCCCTTTACTTGTTTCCGCCCAGTTTCGAACTGAGGACCTTTCGCGTGTAAAGCGAACGTGATAACCACTACACTACGGAAACTTAAATTGGAAGACAGTCCGACCTCTTTTAGCGTACGCTTGTTCAAAAGCGACTGAAACGATAGACTGCCCACTGTCCTTAAAATGGCAAAAAGCTGCTATTTTTGTTGGCAGACTTAACATTTTTTATTACTCTACAGGAAACTTCAATGGTCATTTGTTTTGTTTTAGTCCTTTTCTAAAGAATTTACACCGCAAATCGCCCTGCAAGTGTTCTGACCCGCTCAACAGAAAACCACTGAAAAAATGTTAGCAAAGACCATCCACAGTTTCCGCCCAGTTTCGAACTGGGGACCTTTCGCGTGTGAGGCGAACGTGATAACCACTACACTACGGAAACAAGCCCTTCAGGTGCAGACAGAAATCTTCTGGTGCAGGCTTGTTAAAAAGTGTACCAAGGAAAAGTGAGCTGAGCCCTCCTGTTGTGGCAAACAGTTTAAATTTTCTGCCAAAAGCCAATTGCTGTTTCTGCTCGGTTTCGAACCGAGGCCCTTTCGCGTGTTAGGCGAACGTGATCACCACTACACTACAGAAACCTCCTTATGTAAGACATGTGCTTTTTCGAAAATGGCTCCATCCCATAATCTTTCCTGCAAGCATTGTGACAAGCTGTTTAAATTCCACAAACAACAGATAAGAGCTCATTCGGAATGGCAGTCTGCCTACAGCTCTTTGGTACAATTGCCCTCACCTAATTTCAATAGTCCAAAAACTTTGTTGCGAATTTCAGCACGTATATTAAAAACCCCTTTACTTGTTTCCGCCCAGTTTCGAACTGAGGACCTTTCGCGTGTAAAGCGAACGTGATAACCACTACACTACGGAAACTTAACTTGGAAGACAGTCCGACCTCTTTTAGCGTACGCTTGTTCAAAAGCGACTGAAACGATAGACTGCCCACTGTCCTTAAAATGGCAAAAAGCTGCTATTTTTGTTGGCAGACTAAACATTTTTTTTTATTACTCTACAGGAAACTTCAATGGTCATTTGTTTTGTTTTAGTCCTTTTCTAAAGAATTTACACCGCAAATCGCCCTGCAAGTGTTCTGACCTGCTCAACAGAAAACCACTGAAAAATGTTAGCAAAGACCATCCACAGTTTCCGCCCAGTTTCGAACTGGGGACCTTTCGCGTGTGAGGCGAACGTGATAACCACTACACTACGGAAACAAGCCCTTTAGGTGCAGACAGAAATCTTCTGGTGCAGGCTTGTTAAAAAGTGTACAAAGGAAAAGTGAGCTGAGCCCTCCTGTTGTGGCAAACAGTTTAAATTTTCTGCCAAAAGCCAATTGCTGTTTCTGCTCGGGTTCGAACCGAGGCCCTTTCGCGTGTTAGGCGAACGTGATCACCACTACACTACTTATGTAAGACATGTGCTTTTTCGAAAATGGCTCCATCCCATAATCTTTCCTGCAAGCATTGTGAAAAGCTGTTTAAATTCCACAAACAACAGATAAGAGCTCATTCGGAAAGGCAGTCTGCCTACAGCTCTTTGGTACAATTGCCCTCACCTAATTTCAATAGTCCAAAAACTTTGTTGCGAATTTCAGCACGTATATTAAAAACCCCTTTACTTGTTTCCGCCCAGTTTCGAACTGAGGACCTTTCGCGTGTAAAGCGAACGTGATAACCACTACACTACGGAAACTTAACTTGGAAGACAGTCCGACCTCTTTTAGCGTACGCTTGTTCAAAAGCGACTGAAACGATAGACTGCCCACTGTCCTTAAAATGGCAAATAGCTGCTATTTTTGTTGGCAGACTAAACATTTTTTATTACTCTACAGGAAACTTCAATGTTCATTTGTTTTGTTTTAGTCCTTTTCTAAAGAATTTACACCGCAAATCGCCCTGCAAGTGTTCTGACCTGCTCAACAGAAAACCACTGAAAAAATGTTAGCAAAGACCATCCACAGTTTCCACCCAGTTTCGAACTGGGGACCTTTCGCGTGTGAGGCGAACGTGATAACCACTTCACTACGGAAACAAGCCCTTTAGGTGCAGACAGAAATCTTCTGGTGCAGGCTTGTTAAAAAGTGTACAAAGGAAAAGTGAGCTGAGCCCTCCTGTTGTGGCAAACAGTTTAAATTTTCTGCCAAAAGCCAATTGCTGTTTCTGCTCGGTTTCGAACCGAGGCCCTTTCGCGTGTTAGGCGAAACGTGATCACCACTACACTACAGAAACCTCCTTATGTAAGACATGAGCTTTTTCGAAAATGGCTCCATCCCATAATCTTTCCTGCAAGCATTGTGACAAGCTGTTTAAATTCCACAAACAACAGATAAGAGCTCATTCGGAATGGCAGTCTGCCTACAGCTCTTTGGTACAATTGCCCTCACCTAATTTCAATAGTCCAAAAACTTTGTTGCGAATTTCAGCACGTATATTAAAAACCCCTTTACTTGTTTCCGCCCAGTTTCGAACTGAGGACCTTTCGCGCGGGAGCCGAAAATGGTTAAGCTTAACTTCCCTTAACTTTTCCCATTCATTCTCTATGGTAGTGCTTAACACTACGGATGCAATCTACTTTTGGCCACGTACACGTAGACTTCCCGGCGCTCTTTCGCTTTTCCGTGGCGGGGAATTTAAAAAGCGAAGCGTCATCTGTCAACCCATTTTATTACCGGAGAGATATTTGTTTACCGACTTGTCAGCAAACTTGTTTCGTTTTGTTAGTGTCTAAACTACCTGCAGACAGACTTTAACTCAGGTGAGTGCATATACTTTATTATTCAAATATTTTATCATTTAAATTGCATGTATATTGTCATGTAATCGTATTGTCATCGTGTTGAATGGATTGTGACGATAAGAAACAGCTATTTTATAAGAGTATCTTTGTTTGTAAAGGTGAATGTTTCATCATAATCTCTAACTATGTTTAAAATATAAGTTAACATTGCAGAAAGATGTAATGTGCAGTAGTATGGAGGACCAAACCTGCAGTTAAAAATGAATGAATGAATAAATAAATGAATGAATGAATAAATAAATAAATAAATAAATAAATAAATAAATAAATAAAATTAAATGTGATAATAGGAAAATACATAAAGGAATAAACGACTTGATAAAATAATTATGATAACATTTTAACCCTTTAATGCATGATTTATGATAACCTCAGTCAGGATTTTTTTTCTTTGTGTTTTTATTGCCCTTAGGGCATGAAAAACAAGATTTGATTTGATTTTTTTTTTTTTAAACAAATTTTTCAAAGAGATTTTCAGATGTCCACTTGAGTGGACAGCATGCATTTATAGTTTAAACTGAAGAGATACTGTATTAAACATAATACAATAATCAAACAGATAAATTATGTGTATTTAACAAACTAATCAATACAATTACATCAAATCATGTGAAAACTTTAAAATATATGAAAAAATATATATAAATCCGAAATATTGCAAAGGCAATTGACCTGCAGACAAGTTGCACTTCGTGTATCTTGGATATCAGAACATGATGATGTGATTCCATCAGAAATGTCTACAGACTGTCAATGTACAATTGTGGAAACACTCAGATGCTCCCTCCAGTGTGCCAGAGTATGTCAATTTACCCTTATTAGCTGATAATTCTGATTATGTTAGAAATGGACACATTTCTAGCATAGCCCCTCTTCTGAGAAAACCTAGTGATACATTTTTTTAAATCTCATCTAAAATGAGCAGTGTTGGGCCAGGCATAACGCATTCAGATTACTTGGTTGATGTTACAAGGAAAGTAATGTGTTAGAAGTAACATGCATTACATAATCAGGTTTGTTTTAATGTTTCTAGTAAAGTAATGCATTACAAGTAATATGCATTACCTACTCAGATTACTTTTTGATCTAACAATTAATTACAAGTAATGTGCATTACGTAATCAGATTACATTTTGTTGTTGCGAATAAAGAAACGCATTAAAAGTAACATGCATTACATAATCAGATTACTTTTTGATCTAACAAGTAATGCACTACAAGTAACTTGCATTATTTAATCAGATTACTTTTTGATCTAACAATGCATTACAAGTAACATGCATTACATAATCAGATTAATTTTTGATGTTACGAGTAAAGAAACATAGGTAAACAGATATTTTTTGATCTAAGAAGTAATTGTAACGTACGGGCAGAGACGGTCGGATCCATGTGCAGCACTTTATTAACACAAGCAGACATGAAAACTGGCAAACACTTAAACAAAGGGGCAATCCAGAAACTCGTGGTCTAAACAGGCAATGGTCGAGGCAGGCAGCACAGGTTCGAGAGCAGTCCAGGAAACAGGCAAGGGTCAAGAGTCCAGGGAAACACGGAGACACAGAACAGGGAATAACGCTCGGAATTGTACGCTTACAGGGTAACAAGACTTCGCAAGGGACACAGGGAAAACTCAGGCTTAAATAAGGAACTCAATAACCAATGATGAAACACAGCTGAACATAATGAAACACAAAGAGTCCAGGGGAAACAAACATGGGGAGAGGGTGCCCTCTAGTGGCTCTCGAGGGCACCACGGCTGCTGATCGTCACATAACCCCCCCTCTAAGGAGCGGCTTCCAGACGCTCCTAAGAGCTCCGGGGGGAGGTCGACGGGGGCTGGGATGGAGGGCCAGGCCCATGGAGAGGCAGGAGGCCAGGCACATGGAGAGGCCTGGGGCCGTGGAGCGTGGGTGACCAGGAAGGAGCAGGACGTGATGGCGGCCAGGGCGGAGCAGACACAGGCGAGGTCCATGACAGCCTCGCCTCCATGGCCCTCACGGACTCAGAGGTCCATGTCAGGATCACCTCCATGGCCCCCACAGAGTACCTACTGCCCCCCCCAAAAAATACTTGGGGAAATTCACGGGAGGAGCCTCTGGGTGGTGAACTGGTACAGGAAAGGCCTCCCGGAGCTTGAAGGGTGCAGGCAGAGCGAGGCGCAGAGGCGGGGCCGGCAGAGCGAGGCGCAGAGGCGGGGCCGGCAGAGGCGGGGCCGGCAGAGGCGGGGCCGGCAGAGGCGGGGCCGGCAGAGCGAGGCGCAGAGGCGGGGCCGGCAGAGCGAGGCGCAGAGGCGGGGCCGGCAGGGCGAGGCGCAGAGGCGGGGCCGGCAGGGCGAGGCGCAGAGGCGGGGCCGCCAGGGCGAGGCGCAGAGGCGGGGCCGGCAGGGCGAGGAGTCTGGGCACGCTCACCGGGGCCTGGCGAACCCAACGAGTCCTCCTTCTCCTCCTGCGGCGGCGCGTCACAGGGCTAGACACACTCGCTGGGCTGGACAACTCACTCACTTGAACTGGAGATGCAGCGCTCACTTGAAGAGGAGATGCAGCGCTCACTTGAAGAGGAGATGCAGCGCTCACTTGAAGAGGAGATGCAGCGCTCACTTGAAGAGGAGATGCAGCGCTCACTTGAAGAGGAGATTCAGCGCTCACTTGAAGAGGAGATTCAGCGCTCACTTGAAGAGGAGATTCAGCGCTCACTTGAAGAGGAGATTCAGCGCTCACTTGAAGAGGAGATTCAATTACTTGAACTGAAGACTCACTGGACAGACTGAATTCAACACTGGACACACTTGATTCACTCGGCTCAGCACTTGACTCACTTGACTCGGCACTCGATTCACTCAGCTCGGTATTTGACTCACTTGATTCACTCAGCTCGGCACTTGACTCACTCGAGTCGGCTGGCACGCGCTCAAACTCCGGTTCGACCCGCGACACCTCCGCTGTCTTAGAAACAGCACTTTTAACAGGGCCAGTGCGGGATACGGGCTCGAGGGGTCCGACATGATGAGTGGTTTTGGCAGGAACGATATGCTTAGAAGCGCCTCTGACGGTCCTTAAGGGAGGATCAAACAGTTTAGCGAGCTGAGGCTTATGCGGCGTGCGGAGTGAGTGAGAGAAATCCGCCGCATACGAACCTCCCCGGCGCAGGGAAAAGAGCAGTTCCTCGAGACCCTCCTTTTCTGCGGGGAGTTCAAAAGCCTTTCTGAACAGGGCGGTAAACACGTTGAAAGGAGGAAACGACATCCGACCTGGTTCCCAAAACGTGCCTGCCCACTCCAGAGCCTTTCCAGTCAACAGTGAGCAGATGAAAGAAACGCGGTCGGTATCCGAGGCGTATAACTGGGGCTGATGTTTCATATATAAACTGCACTGCTGAAGAAATCCTTCACACGCTCCAGGTGAGCCATTAAACTTTTCGGGAAACGGCGTACTGGAATTACTGCATGCGGTACTCACACAGGGTTGCGGTGGAACAGGTGCAGCGGGAGCTTGGGCTTGATTAGTGCTTGTGCTCTGCGGAGACCATGACTGCACGGAGCTTGCTAGTTCCTCGAGGAGAGAAGTTAGTCTCGCCAGCTGAGAACTATGAGAGGCTAGCATTGAAGCTCGGGTCTTGACCACGGCGGATAGATGCTGAAAGTCTGCTGGATCCTCGTTTGGCGAAGTCTTCTGTAACGTACGGGCAGAGACGGTCGGATCCATGTGCAGCACTTTATTAACACAAGCAGACATGAAAACTGGCAAACACTTAAACAAAGGGGCAATCCAGAAACTCGTGGTCTAAACAGGCAATGGTCGAGGCAGGCAGCACAGGTTCGAGAGCAGTCCAGGAAACAGGCAAGGGTCAAGAGTCCAGGGAAACACGGAGACACAGAACAGGGAATAACGCTCGGAATTGTACGCTTACAGGGTAACAAGACTTCGCAAGGGACACAGGGAAAACTCAGGCTTAAATAAGGAACTCAATAACCAATGATGAAACACAGCTGAACATAATGAAACACAAAGAGTCCAGGGGAAACAAACATGGGGAGAGGGTGCCCTCTAGTGGCTCTCGAGGGCACCACGGCTGCTGATCGTCACAGTAATGCATTATGTAATTAGATTACTTTTTGATGAAATGAGTAAAGTAATGCATTACAAGTCACAAATTATGTAATTACATAACTTTTTTAGACGTCAATGAAAATCACATTCTAATAATACAACTACATTTATTTACAGTCAAAAAAAGTTACTGCAGATTAAGTATTTTCAAAAAAAATATTCACAGTAGAAGTATAAATTGTAGCTAAAATATAGCCATTGATGCATGAGGTCCACTATAGTAGACGGGTGATTTGTCAGATTTTTCTGCCAATCTAAAATCAAAACTTGGAAAATTTTACTGTGATATGACTCATTAGATACTGCTTGATGCTGCAATAATT